AGTGTCAAAGCTATGTCAGAAGTTTGGTAGAAAAGCCCCTTCGTGCACAGGACCGTAGCATAGCTGCGCTGCTGCTCCCCTAACAGGTAAAGCTTCGATAACTTTAAAAGTTGAAAAAATACGCACTGTTCAAGCAGAGTAACCAAGAAGAGATGTCAAATAGTTGCAAAGTAAAAAGTTCCCAAGTGAAATTCACATTGTGGACACCTTTAATATCCGGTCACGCCTGAGATCTGCCGCAGATTATATTGGGCTCGCCCTTTCTTCAAACATCATGCAGAGCTCAAACTTCACACAGAAGACACCTACTCCAGTCTACTATATTATTGCAGTTGGTTCCCATGGATATGCGTGTTTTCCTATCAATTGTTAATTAAGCTCTCTCGATGGTTGTGAGTGGATTATTTGATGGCAGTGATGGAGCACAAACATCTCTGCTATACATCCAGGCGTAAATTTGTGAAGGCGAGCTGGGGGATGGGAGGGGGGACACACAGGACAGACACCCCCGCCCAAGAATTGGGTTTCGAAAGATCTGTGCATTTTTTTCTAATGCTATTATATTCCCTGGTATTGTCGTCACGTATCTACCTTGACATTTGCAGTTGTATGTCCAAATCTATTCCCCACTTTTTTCTATTTTTGAAACGTATTTCATGATGAGCCTAATACAAGAAGTATATGAACTGAAGGTTTTAGTCAGCGAGCTTCTTAAATCGATATTGAACTGAAAGCAACTGACAGACACCCAAAATTTTGAAAAGCATCTGAAAAGCACGGTGTGATCTTATTCTGCAACTGTCCGTTTATAACATCTCCACAAAAATGGTGAATCACACAGCAGTGTGTTATCGAGTTGTCTTTTCACCACTGTACCTCTGTCTCTTGATGGTTGCATGCAGAGGGTGACAATATGTAGCTTTTTTGTTTGTTTGTTTTGGCTCGGAACTAACACTGAGTGCCCAATGATCATATGGTCCATCTCTTCCTGTCAAGAAACTGAGAGAAAAATCTCCCGGGAGTTACGACAATGGCTATAACCGCTTCTTGGTGGCTCTGGCTATCATCATTCTTTGTCATGTAATAAGCTTATCCTGTAACAGCAAGTACCACAAAACTAAGAAAAGGACCTTTGCCCGAATTAGCCAAACATACGGTTTACATAAAGTGATATATACACACTAAAATGCTTTATTTAGATACAGAGTGAAAGATGTCAGTGACCATTTTGAAAACCGGAAAGGTAAGAATTTAAAGGTGCAAAGGTCGCCATTAAATTGAAAGAGCCTTGCAATTTGCAGTTATTTTAATTAGACATTAAATATTTCTTATTAATTCATGTCAAAATCTGTATTTATGAGCTAAACTTTGATGTTGTCAGCAGGAGAAAACCTCATTTATGCTTCGATCTGTGCATAAACAACCGTGGGATTTTTTAAACATTTTACAGTCCTAGATTTCCTCTTGTTTGGCGATTATTGTTGTGTAAGTGCGTGGCAATAAGCTAACCACTGAACCTTGTTTATTTTCAGTGAGCCAATTTTGAGTTAACACTTTCTGAGAAAAACACATAAAAACTGAACTCATCAAGTTAAGTGAGCAGAGTCAAAGAACCGGAAGGGTCAACGTGAATGTTATTTCTCCAGTCAACCCCAATGCTTGTCACGGGTGTGATAAAAGCTTTGGACAGTAATATAACCTACGGAGACGTGTAGAAAATGCACATGGTACAGAGGAATCTATTTGTGGAACTGAGTTTACGCAGGGTGAAAACGATGGCTTCCTAGCAGATGATAATGAAGACGATGACAAATTGTTGGATAAAGAAAAGTCTAGTTCAGAGTTGGAAGACAATGTCGCCTATTTAGATGGGATAAGCCAATCAGCAGAGGCCACCAAGGAAATTTGCAGTGCAAAAAATTTGAAAAGTACATCAACAATGGTATGGATGAAGATCAAGCCAAGGAAAAGGCCAACAGGAAGACCCTGTGGGCAGTCAAGTAAACTTTGTTCAACAAGTACAAGGATTTTTTGTCAAGTTACCTGCATTTGGAAGATGATGATACTCACCAGGATATTTGGAAGACCTTAAAGATAAACTAAATAAAGGCATGGAAGTAAAGCCTTGAACTGAGTGATGCCTAAATGCGGCAAAATTTGACAGACTTTCTCAAGAGGATAAATCTTAGGCAGATAAAGAGGAAAACAGCTGTACTGAAAGACTAGTTGTTAAGGACTATACTGTAATGTTAAAACCGGCTTTGTGGTATACGTTTAGTGCAAAAGATTGCAGTAATCCACTATAGTTCTTTTCACACCATGGCGTGACATTCAGGTCATTGATAACAATGAAGGTGGATATACTCGTGAAAATGAAAAACAAAGCAGACAGAGGCAAATCAATACCCTTTTTGACTGTTATATGAAGTCAATTATTGTGTTTAAATGTGTTTGAGAGTAATTGCGCTTGACACGCTGTACTTTTAAGATATTGATCAAATTTGAATCGTTCATAATTTGTTTTGTGTCAGTAAAAACCATGGAAGGGCCAGATGAAATAATTGACGCTCTCGGGTAAAACTGATATTTGTTTCGTCCGTACTTTGAAAGAAGTTCATACGGTTACTTCATACAACTGCCATTCCTGTCGTACATCTTTGCATCGAACGACAGCAAGCACGCAATTACATCATCTTAATTGCAGATATACGTGTCATAAACAAGTTTGACATTTTGTCACAGAGGGTCTAATCATCCAAAGGGTAAAGATGTAGTCAGATTAAAAAGAACGCTCTTGGACTTTGTAGTGATGTTCAGATCATTCGGACATTGAGCCTCCCAAAAGCCAGCTATCATGCACCAATACTTTCCGATTTGTTCATGGAGGGTTACGTAACTACAAACGATTCGCCAAACACTGGGTCAACCCAATGGCCTCTACGCCTTAGTCGCTTTTTGCTAATTTCTTAATTACAAAATAATACGACCAAATGATATCAAATCCCGTTTTTTCCTACCTCTTTTCATGCTGAAAAGCCTATATATCTGAGTTTCGTAGTGCAAAGTTGGTGTCATGAGTGTGGGTCTGTGTTACCCGGGAGGGCGGGGGGGGGTTGCCGCGTTGCTGTTTTGGGCGCTGCCGTGTGATGCTGTAAGCATTAGATGGTTATGGAATGGAATAAATAATGACTATTATAGGCAAGGTGTGGTAGTATGCCATGTCACCCCCCCCATAAGAAAGTACATGAACATGTAAATACATAGTTATTGAACATTTAGTGATGCCACAGCTATGGGTTAAGATCACCCATCGGTATGGGATTTGTTTCAGTGGAAGGGTTCATAGTAAATTTGCGAGGATGGGATTGCTGCTCGCAGGTATCAGCAACAAGAGTTAAATCGGCCATTGAAAATGGGATAAATTGGGCGCATAGTGAACGGTCTACCACACAATTTCAGCGAAAATCTCTCTCAAATGAAGTTTTTTATTCGCTCTGAAGGGCTATATTCTTACATAAGGAGTACACAATTCTGTCTGAGCTCTTTTCACTTTCTGGTTGGGTTTCAGATGAAACATTGCAACGGTGAGCCATGAAAATTAAAAGAAAAAGGATTTGAGTGACTCTCCTTTTTCAGTTGAGGTGGTGTACCGTTGCGGTTGTTATCGCGAGCAGCATTGAGCGGGATGTATGCGCTCCCCATTAGGATTACGCAGACCTTTTACAGACAATCCTGAAAAAATCTCGTTGGAACATGCCACCCCTTCGCCCCTTGTCAATGTTGTTTCTCGATTGGGTAAGCTGGGCTTAATCATGGTCCAATAAATGACCGCAACATTGAATGGGGGAGAGGGGGATCTTTTCGAAGCGGTAGCTCTTGATTATTTGAAGATACCTCTAAATCCTCGAAATTATATTCTAGATATCTTAAAATGATTCAGTGATACGTGAAATAATGTAGAAATGATTTTGAAATATCTGGAAATCGATTTCAAAATATCTGGGGAACGCTATTAATTTAGATATCTTGAAACTGATTTCAAGATATCTCGAAATGATTTGAGACATATATCTTGAAAACAATTTCGAAACAGTTTGAAATGGACTTCGAGATTTCTCGAAATCATTTCAAGGTGTTTTTACTGCAATTTTCAGATATCCCAAAATCGTCAAGAGCTATCCCTTCAGTACGAATAAATGCCATTTTTATTCGCACTATACTCGTGTTAATTGTGTTACTCGTTAATTGTGTTTATCTGTTGTAACTGTCGGAGACCGCAAATTAGGGAGAGCAATCCCTATAATTGTTCTCGGACGACAATAACTTATTGTAAATTTATGCTGAAATCGGCACGTAAACATATGCATACATTCTTTGCTTTACATATTAATATATCAAAAGATAAGGACCTCTGACCTCTGTGGTTCCCGCTTACGAGTGGATTACTGCTCGTGTACTTCCGATGCACAAATACTACTACTTTATTTTGTATTATCAAAAATTCGCCTCATAAATCCTGGTTGAAGCTACAATGTGTTACTGATTGAATTCCTCAAACTTTATAACTTGAGAATAAATATGAAAGCACGTGCTGGCTACATATTCTGTACGAGGAATTCTCCATAGCATATTAATAGTAGTAATAATAGTATAACTAGTAATACGACAGTTCTTCGGTCTCTAATGCTCGATTCAATCAGCTAGTAGTGGCCGCAATACTTCACGTGAGTTTATTCACTTTTGTATGTTTCGCATAATCATCTTATACCCAACCACTTATGATTTAAAATGGGTATTTACCAAGAGGCTTTATGTGTATTCCTTGGTTGGGTACATGCACGAAAATGCGTTAAATATGAACGTGTACGTGCTGAACATCAGGGCACATTTACATACAATACGTCGTGTGTACAGTGTTGCTATGCGACGCGTCCGTCGCTGTATTATCATCTGTATTAATATCATGTACGTGCATCTCGACATGCATCGCGGCGTGCATTTCATAATTGTCCAGTTTAGAGAGTTTTCTATGTAACGACGCTCCATTTAAGAACAGAACTAAGATAATTCCCTTGGGGACATCTGTTACTGATTCTGTGGCAGGAGCTTTGAGCGGCGACTTACTTGACCTCTTCATTTTACTGTATTGGGTGAGTTAAATTAAGATGTCAGGTATCAACTTTTATCCTTACAGGCCTATTAAATATCCACATATACTGCTGTCAGTTTTAGGGGTTGTAATTTCCCCATAACGTTGTGTCATTGTTATATCTTTCCTCAATTTACAAATAGGAAGAAGACCATTCATACATTGTTATCTTCCATTCTTCCTATCGGATTTTTTTAATGCTTTGCTCAAATTCCTTTATATTGACAACATACCGATCGTACAATTCTGGAGGCTTGAATAAAACATATACAAACTAATCGGAGTCCACGTGAGTCTTTCGAGATGATAAGAGCTCTTCAACCCCGGGTGGCGACCGACCGTAGCCATCACACTGGGTCCTCAACTCGCGGCTCCCGACATAACGAAGTGCACTGACTGTGTTTATATTGTGTTGATTTTTATGCCCCTTTGTTTACATACAGATTTCTTTAATTTACAATGTAGAAAAGTCCATCGTTTAAAAAAATCGTGCAAATGATGTCAGCAAGAATCTCATGTTTTATGTTTATTATACAGAGCTATCTATGTAAAAAGTGATGAAGAATATTCATTTACCCCATGGTGAAACAATTGTTACTTCAAGGTACAAAGGTGTATGCCCATGTATTTTCTTATCACTAAAGTAGCGCATTACCTGGGGATTTTGAATAAATAGCTGGTCGGAAGTAGACTTCAGACAGGGTCAACTTGTCGCTAATAAGTGACGCTGGGGATGACAGCGGACGACCACCACCCACATGGCTTTGATTTACCCTGGTTTATTTCTACTTCCATGGTCGATACCAGCAAATTCGTTCTCAATTATTATCCTGCAAATTCAATAATTGATCATGTGGCTACTAAGGACGAAGCAAGGACGGCAAGCCACTTGCAAAGTTGCATATCACATCGCGACTTGATAGTTCAGTACATTCCATCAACAACACCTCGAAGTAACACAAATCTATAGATGTGTGTGCGCTTCAACGCGTATTTTATAGAAATGTGATATTTTCGTTTTCCACGAAGAGTGCACGTCTTGCGTCACGTGCTCCGTGATTTGCCGTATTCAGAAATTGACGTTCTCTTTAGTTTACAAAGTTAGGAGTTTTAAGAGCAAGCACATAATTTGTGCTTCTTTGTGAAAACGAGATCGTTCGATAATGCACGAGTGTATTGCACGAGGCTGGATCACGAACGACTAGCAAACACAAGCCTTGAAGTCGCATTCCTATCAGCAAAATGAACAGTCCTGACCAACGGGGCTCTTTTCAACAGATGAAGGGGTGCTTCTGCACGAGGCGGATAGACTAATGCGATTAGACGCCATAACCGCAATGGCACCGCACTCACACACCCACGCACTTCATCTTGACGCACGCGTGCTCTTGGCAAATAACGATACGCCCGGGGTCGAAGGGCCAGGGCATGTAACGGCACGTACCACTACATGTTCACGAGCGCTGTGCCAACGCGACAAACAAGAATTACGCGTGTAATAAAAGGTCCTACACTACAGCAGTCTAAATGTGTCGACTGTCTGTCTAGCGTTACCATACTTTACTCAGAGCACAACTGAAGCACTTCTACAATTAATAATGTGCAACTCAAGCAATCCATTTGTATGCGTTCTTTACTGCGATGCATTGTTTCTCAGAGTTTTAAGACCCTATACAGAACTCGAGGAAACGTCATTTTGGTATTTGCAATCTTCGTTAACTGGGTCAAGTTACCTGCATGTTTTTCTATGTCAAGCTTGACCCAAAAGCTGAAGGCAATATGATTATGCGAGCGCAGACAGTAACAATCGAACAGGTTGCTACTTGAAAAATTTAATGGAAAAAAGAACTCCCTCCATTTTGGGTAGTTAGTTAGCGTGTATTCCAACTTGAATGAAAATGGCCTCCCCACTGCTCACTCGGTTTCTTCGGCACCGTCTCCGGATAAGTCGTCTCAACTCAACTCGGAAACGCCGATACTTGAAACAATAAATCACCGGGTTGACGAACATGTTGCAAGCCAGCAGACTGGTGAATGTTGCGTACAACCAGCCTCCCCAATCTGACGAGAAGTGCGCGTAAACAAACCATCCTTCTGTCGGTGTCCAGCACACTACAAACATGACGGCTATCAGCATGGTCGTTACGAGGAGGTTTTTCTTGCCTTTATTCATCAAGGCATTCCGCGGACCGTTGTCTTGATTTGTAACTCTTTTCTTGAACATGATGACTATTTTGCTGTAAGTATAGCTCAAAATGATCACGGGCACCAGGTATTTAATAGTGAATCCCAAAGCAACATCAAGAACCTGCCAACCTGTTTCCCTTGCTACAGGTAGACAATCTCCTCGGTGTGCATCAAACATGACCCAAAAGTGGGAGCCATATAACAAGCCCACGCCCCATGCACTTCCCACAGCAAATTTTAACTTGGCTGCGGACCACATATTACGATGTCTTAACGGGTGGCAGGTCGCCATAAACCGCTCCAGCGATATGATAACCAGATTGTACGTGGATGTTACATTCATGGACCACATGAACATATCCGAGTTTATGACGCGGCAGATAAACTGATCGTAAAAATTACCCTCGACTGACACTGCTTTGTGGCTGTCCTGTAAAACGACCTGGTAGAGAAAAAACACAATTCCGGCAATGCAGTCAATGACGGACTGGTGCAGGATGAGGCGATTGGTGAAGGAGCTAAACACTCGTCTTCTGAGCAGCATAACGGTAATCACCATGCCGTTACCAAGCACAGCTAGACAGGCAATGATAGTGTTGACTGCGTCCAATACTGGGCTATGAACCTCTTGAAATGATCCTTCATCTGTGACGTTTCCAGCATCGACAGCACCCATGTTGACAGCTTGCTTAAAAGCAGCCAGTTTCAAGCAGTGAAACACTGTCTAATATTTCCAGTTGTCGTTGGTCTGTAGTGACTTTTTCTAACTTTCACGCTTGTCCTCTTGAACAATTCGTCCTTTCACATTCTCTCTCAGGCACTAGTAGTGTCACTCATTTTCAACCGCAAATAGTGTTGCCTTGCTGGTAAAGAAAATCACTCTGAGACGTTTCGCTGGCAACTAATCATGGACGATTTAATGTTTCGACTCACAAATAAAGAATCTGTAGATTATTAATCAGTCCTCATACAGCTGTGAGGGAATGAGGTATATGCCTGTGCCGCATGTCATTGTAAATGCAAGCTATACTTTTTCACTGACATGATGAACCTAGGAACATTGAATGAACTGAGCGAAGTTTTGTTCGTATGGAAAATGAAGGGAGGAGACTGGATATTACTTTGACAAACAAGGCTCACCAGTTGGACCCGGTTGGAAGGTCTAGATCATTCCCTATTAGTAACAGACATAATATAGGCGGCCCAAGCAGAAATGAGAGCCGAGTCACGTGTCACAGATACGACCTGTCGACTCATGTTTAATTCCACCCCTTTGACAAAACGGGTGGGCATGACTATGTGGAGAGGACTTATACCGTAAAGCGCATTTTTTCAGCCGTAAAAGCAACGGCATCTGCTTTTTGCTTTTGGTAGGCTTACGTGCTTATTTCATGGAATCACACTTCAGGATGGTAAGGTGAGAAAAGAGAGAGAAAACGGCAAGTCGGCCTTCGGTTTACAATGGTTAGGTTACAATGTGGCATAAATTTTTGTGAATGGTTTAGCGTTGAAATGTTTTTACATCGGGGTGTTTTTTTTATTGCGTTTACATTTTGGCTTACTCCATAGTATTAT